TTTAAAGAAAGGGTTTAAAGAAAGGGTTTGTTTCTGACAGCTTGTCTCTTTGGTTTTGAGGTTATTTTCCAGTGATACACAGCTGGTCTTATAAAAATATTTATTCCCACAATCTTTGCTTCCCTTAAATTATTAAATGAAACTGGAAAAGTTCCCTCTGCAGAAAAGTTAACAAGGCTGTGGATAGAAGTAGCGTATATCTCAATTAAAGGGTGACAGGTTACACTGTTTCTATCAGCAGTAGGAAGCTCAGACACAAGAGACAACAACAGCGGGGGAAAAAAAGGAAGAGGAATAACAGTGCTACTGCATTTGAGAAGCAAAACGTTCCTCAGACGTCAGAAAATACAAAACCAAACAACAAAAGCCCAACAGCCTGCCTGGTTAGAATTTCCTGCTTAAGGGTAATCATTAATCTCCTCAAAGAAGATTAAAGTTCCATGTACACATACAGCACATCGAGGTCAGAACATTAAGAAAAAGTTTAGTCTGGAATAATACTGGCTCTAATAAAAAGAATCTTCCACTACTGACAATCCCTGATCATCCAAGAGTAGGAGAAGAGAAAAAAAGCCCCAAACCTCCAAACCCCTCCCTGCTCCCATTCCAAGAAGTCTCCATATCCATCACCTCGTACAAAACACTCTGTTCCCTTAGCCTGTGTTTGATTATTTGACAGTAAAACTTCCATAAGGAAGTTTACCATGCAGTGCAATGAAATGGAAACCTATCTTTCTCTAAGCAGTAAGAAAACAATTTGTAATAAACATCTGTAAGTATAAAAACAATTCAGTATCCTTCATTATGCTACAAATGACACTGTAGATAACACAAAGAATTGAAAAACAAAAAGCCAAGGAAGGGAATTTTCTCAAATCACAATGCTGAAGTTATTTTGTTCTATTCTATTTCATAAAAACACCCGTATACATGTTCTCTTTCTGTCAAAGCTGACAGGGCTTCTCACGATCTAACACTTTCTCAGCCCAGGAGCTTATTTCAAGTTTGTGAAACTGGCTGTTTGAAACATGCTTTGCTTTCCAGACATCTTACTCGGGCTGATCGTGCAGTACACATCAGATGTAAATGGTATTACCTTATCCAGCACTACAATTCAGGAGAAAAAGTGTCTTACAATCTTTAAAGTTATTTTAAAATGAAATAGAAAATATATGGAGGGTGTTTTAGTATTTGCCACTGAAGATTTAGAGGCTAAATAAAGAAAAGGAGGAAGCAACTAAACTGACACGTATGATGGGTATACTTAGGGAAGGAATGGAAAGAGAGAGGAAAAATCCCAGTATGTTTCTGCAGGCAAAGAAATGCCTACAGAGATCAGGATACAAACACAGTCATCAGAACTTGGAATGGAACCTAAAACGTGTGCTTCCCCATGCAAATTCTGTATGGCAAAAACTGCCATGAAACTACCAACAGAGAGTGTGTTCTGGGCAAAGGGTGAGGTAAGACTTTTTTTATAAACCAGACTGAAAAGAGAGTTAAAAAATAAACAAAAACACCCAACTATTAAGCTCATAAAAGCACAGACATAAGGTTAGAAATTGCTGGAACCACAGATGCACATTCAAATGACATACAGACCCTTTGTGAAAATACTTATGGTCCAGAATTTGTTTAAACAGTTAAACACAGACACTGCCCCACAGGAGTTCTGACTCTGTGCAACTGCATGGACTTGGGCCTGGAAATTAATCCAGTTTCTGTGTAAGCCTTTGCAATGTCTATAGGATTTCTGGCTCATGTGTTGAGGAAATTAGAAGGCATAAAATGAAACCAGTCTGCAAACGGAGTTTTGAAAAAAGAGGAAGACTTATAATTAAGTCAACTGAGTATCATTCCAGATAACTGTGTTCTCATATAAATCTGAGTAATTTACACCATGCTTTTCACCAATGGCAAATAATTGTGTCAATTTTCTAGGTGCCAAAATGTATGAATCTCAAGCTAAAGTTCTCAATAGCTCTGAAAACCTTAGCTACACTTAAAAGCAAGAGAGACTATGTGTTAAACTTATGCTCTAAAAGTAACAACTGTTCTGAACAACTGTATGGTGGTAAGCTTCTCCTAAAAAATAGATTTTGGGAGATTTTGACCCAAATGACTCTGTTAGATTCCTGTCCATAAACCTAAAATTACAGTATAATTTTCACAAATGTTTTGTGCAGATGAATTCATTGGTGTCTGTGAAGCACACAGTAAGGCCACATAAAAAACCCCAAACCCAAGAACTCACAATGAAATTAGTAACTCAAAGGAATGCAGAGCTTAGCTGAAGTGTGGTAAATAAGACCTCAACCCCTACACTGAATGATAAGGATAAAAATGGAACTCTGAATACATTCCATTCAGTGAATAGCACTCATTTTTCTCTTGAATGGAACAGAGATCCTGTGGAAAAAAAAAAAACCTGCTATACAATCATGAGAAAACCATTTGTAATTCATTACTCTGTTCTATATTTGATACTGATTAATGTTTTCTTTTCCTTTTCACATGATTTTTCTTTTATTCCCATTTATAGTCCTTTTTCATATTTTCTTCTAAACAGAACACAGTGTCAGCAAAATTGATTATAAGGAACTTTCCAACCTAACATGTTACAGCGCCTTCACAATTAGGCACAGAAAATGCTGTTATTCACCGTGATTTCACTTCTTCTTAAAGAAAAAGAAGAAAAAGGAAAAAAATAGTCAGGCAATTTTGATTGCAGTATTTGCTCATGTCTTCTGTCAGCAGTGCCCATTTACCACAGTTTTGTTGGCTATAGATTTGTGTGTGCACTGTGGGTGAAGACTAAACCATGGCTCTTCCACCCAGTGTTAGAGTCCAGTCTACAGCATGATCACAGCATCAGCCCTATCTGCCTGATGTCCTGTTAGTAACGAGAGCGGTGTGGAGGAAAGTGTGGACCACATGACAGGCCACAACAATACAGTCAACAACTCTCATCTTGACACTCACACGTTAAAGGTTTAAATCATAACCTGATACTTTATGATAAGATGCTCAGAAAGTATATCATTCATTCCCAGGGGCTCTGGAAAGACACCTGCCTAATATTGCACGTTTTCAGCTCACGACCAGACATGCCATTTTTGAAGTAGGCTACACTCTTCCTGTCCTCCAGCAGTCTACACCCCTGTCCTAGATCTAGAGCTATCACTGAACAGGAAACACTAGCACTGCCAAGCCCTGCTTGTTATACTGCATCATCTCTGAGGAAAAGGCATCTTATCTCTGTTCACATTCTCTTCAGCACTGAGAGTGACCTTTCCTCTAAGTAGATCAGCAGAAATACATTACAGTTCTTGATAGAAAGGAAAGCTACATAGAGATCCAGACTACTAGCATACAGGATGTATTAGTCCTAATGTGAGTCGAAAGCACGGACTGATTTACAGCATATATACTACACAAACTGTAAATGACCTGGTATTTCTGGACACCCCTGCACTAACCCAGAAATCAGACCAAGAGGGGAAACTGGGCCACAGAGGGAACACATTTGGCCACTGGGATGCAGGAGCACAGCAAGCAAATTATATCTGTCTTCAGGATTACATACTAGGCTTTGCATCTGTGATGCTACAGAATTAAAATTAAATGCGTTTTATACTGTTGTAATGATCTTTGTTGACTTAATCTAAGAATAAAGGAAACTTATGCAGTCATACAAAACCTCCTCATGTTATTAAAATACACCATTCTCAAATTAATATGCACACCTCAAAATCATGTTCCTGTAACTTTGACAGGATTTGCATTCAATTCATGCTATTCTATATCAGACCAAAGAGTAAGATATTGAAATGATACACCACATCTCAACTAGCAGAAATTTAACTGTAAATCACACTGAATCGCAGTCAAGAAACATGCCAGAATGCCTATAGTAACACTCACATGTATTTTATTTGTTAAAGCTGAGATATTTGGCAGGTAAGTCTTATGGTTACCAACTTCTCCTCCTTTTTTAGCTCCTCCGGGTGCTTCCACCAACCCAGGACCAACATTCTTGGATACCTCCTCTTTAGGGGTTGGGGGGGAGTAAACCCAAGAAAACCAAACCTGAACCCTGAGAGGGCAGTTGGAGACATTATATGAGATTGTACTGGAAAAAGTAGTCTGTCTCTTGAGGAGAATGTGCAAGAACATCCTCATGCCTGCAGTGCTACCTTATTCTTTAGCTTTTATTGAGGCACTAGGTTCCCAAGCACAACCCCTATCCTCCTGCAGCCTACCAATAGCAGGATGTAAAGTAAAGGACTACTGAGAGGAGACAGAAATCTTTACCACCTGCCCCTAAAACTTCACAAAAATCCCTTGTCCAAAATATGTAACAGTACATTATTGTTTAAAAGTGGTAGCCAAATAATTATTAAATTATTACCTCTGAAGAAAATGTTAATGGTGTGACCCATTTTACTGCAGAGCAGCTGTGGCATTCAAAAGACACCTGACTAGTCTGCTCAGTCAACAATAACTTACGAGATTTCATTTTGTTTCTGGGATGATACTTCTGAAAGCTTTATTTGAACTGAATCCGTAGGGAGGCATATAACTATTTTTATGCAACCCCAAGAAACATATCTCCCACATTTTCAAACCACATTAACGATACTTAGTTCATTTTATTTGTATATGTATGTATTTGGGGATTACTTTGGTACATGCCAAAACCTGCAATATGGCTATCAAATGGCTATAACCTTTCCCTAGCTGCTCATGTAGTTACCAGTTGCACGTGAAGCCCTAGGTAAAAAAAGGTTTTAATTTCTTAAAAAAAATACAATTCCTTTATTTAGATAAATGTTAATTAAACCACTTTCGGAAATCTGAATCAGTTTACCAAATAAGTAGGACCCTGCGTGTAAATACATTCTGATTTCACGATACATCAAAAGAAGTTATCACCCTGAAGAACTGAGGCTTGTATTCTGTACTCTAACAGGTAAACTTTAAACTGCTTTGCTACTTACCAAACCCTCACTGGGCATAATGCTGGTGAGATGAACTACCTCAAGATGTGCTGACTGTGACACCAGAGAATCGGATGAGAGCGAAATGATGTGGTCACAAATCCCAGACAAGGTTTTACACTACGAAGAAAAACAAGTCAATATAATTGCTCATATTAAACTGAAACTACTAGTGAAGAAGTTCTTATTCTGAGAACTAATTGAGAATAAATAGATAATTTTACTTCTTAGCATTGTAAAAACTACAGGTATATGATAGTTAAGAACAAAAAGTTAAGGGAACAGAAAATAACCATAAATTACAAAAAAAGTTTACATGCATGTACATGCATGTTCTTCTGATCAAAACATTTTACTGTGCACTGAGAACAACTGTGTATCTGAACTAACTTCTCAACTCCAGCTACACACAAAACCAGAAACAACCTGATCAACTACATCCTATCTGTCATTATAATGTATCGACATAAATACAATGGAAGTCAAGTGAAAAATGTCAAAATAAATGCCTTATCCACCAACTCAATAATCTATTCTGGCTACCAAAAGAGCAACCCGATCAGCAGTGATCATTAGGTGAATCTGCATTAAACCACTTAGAAAGTGTTCCCTTTGTTAAAAATTACATTGGCAGATGAGTGCCTTATTTAACTAATTTCATGAAGTAAAATTCTTATGCATCTTCGAACACATCCTTTAACTGATATTCTGGATCACTGCAACTGTGCAATAATTTTCTTACCCTGCCTTCCAGCTAAAGATCTCAAAATCTTAATGCCAATCCACATAAACACCTTCGAAGTAGGAACTCCATTGCACAGTATTACTGAAAGACTAAACACGTCTCTCAAAGGCAAACTGTCAACTATATGGATTAGAAAGAAGTCGATCTGTACTCTTGGAGAATCTTCATATATAAAGATTGATTCCCAAGTTTGCATGTGTTGCTTAAAGCTTTCATTTAAAAAGACTATGCCTAAAAATATTTGAACCTAATCTGAAAGTGAAAGCATTTGTATGGATAGATTTTTGTATGTTCTTCAGGTCAAAGTTGTGCGGTATGCATCTATTTTCCTTTGGGGACTATACTCTCATTTTCCCTAATTACAGCAAATTCTGGTGAAATCAAGGGAAGTTTTATTCCAGGCATTTACAAAAGCATGAAGACTTCTAATAACTCATTTGACATATTATAGGTTAAACAAATAAAGTTGTCACAATGTATAAATTAACTGCCTGAATTTAGAGATTATGTTTCCATTCACTCATCTGGAAATCCAAGGACAGGTCTGGAGTACTGGATGTGGCATCTGTATTCTGTACCAGTTGCAAGGTGCAAAGTCCCCCATTCAGATATGCATGACTGCACCTAAAGGTCATCATTACCCAAAATATTTCTAGTAGTTTCAGCTTTGGGACAGAACCCCTAAACAAAACTTTAGGTCCTGTCTTCTGCCACCAGAGACATAGAAACTGGCTTGCTCAAAAAGTGGACCCTACTGCTTATTCTGCTTATGAATTCATGTTTCACCCTGTCTGTGAGTATATGCTTTCATCCAGCTTTTGAACTAGACATATCAAAACACTATGATGATTTCAAACTGAAGCCCTCTCTTATGCTTTAACATTTAAGATCATATGTATAGATTAGATGCAGACTAAATCCCAGACACATCACTTTCTACTTTCTGATGTAATTCAAATATTTTTTCAGTAAATAAACTTTGGAATGAAATAAACAAAGAAGGTTTCAGTCAAATTTACTGTTATGAATCTGTAAGATCTCCCCATGATTCAGAAAATCAAATAACATCTATGTAGGACTTTATCATGAGGAAAATATTCAAGAAAATTGTATTAGAGTATTTAAAAAGATCAGTTTGCTGCAAAAGAAGTTCAGCAGATACAAGAGAGGCCTGACACCAGTTGTAAATAATGCCAAGGCCAGGGTCAGGAAGTAATGTTTGGTACGGACTATCAACATGGGATGATACACCAACACATGCTGAAGTATTTTGGGCACTGAAAAAAAGGGAAGAACCGAAGTCTTGAGTACTAGTTCTGAAAGCACACAGAAGCAAAGTGCACACTCTCCAGATGGCGCAATACTACTGTGCTTCAGAAAATCTCAAACAAAAAAAAGGGTTCTTCAAGAAGTTCAGTACCTGTTGCAGAGGAACTTTCCATACAGTTTTACAGGTGGTTCAACACCAACATTCATCTGTTAGACTTCCCTCAATGCGCCGTGACAATAGACCCTCTAGGTAGCCACTAAGCCTTGAAAAAGCCAAGCAAACTTCTATGTCACAAAAGGTTTTTTTAGTATGGCAGCTACTGCTTGGATGGTAGAACGGATATAGTTAATAATTTGTATGTACTGCTGAGAGAAAGAACTAGCAGGTTGTCATTTATTTATTATGAGAGGCATACTATGTTAGTCTAAAGAACTGAGGCAGTCCCAACAACCACATTTGCTGAACAGATACCCAAAAAAAAAAGGAAACCTGACCCTCCAACATTCACTTCAGAGTGATCCTGAAGATGACTCCTTCATAACTTGTCTTTTCCCATAATACTTGAGTGCAGAGTAGACACAGTCCAGTCCCACGACTACTGAGGGAATGGCATCTGTGCCCTGTGATTGCAGCTGAGAACATTCTCCCTCAGTGTGGAGCTATTCCACACAAATCTACACTTCAGTGAATATCTCCAGTAGCCAATGAAGAAAGTCAACCATTGATCATCATTCTATAAATCTGTATTTACTTCTAAGCATACCTTTCTTAATATCTTTCAGAAAGAGAACAAAAGGCCATGTGGTGTTTAAGAATTACAGATTCTCTTACAAGTGTAAATTTTTACTTTAGAGCATCAAAATTATTTTTCTTATTTTTTATTTTTTTTATAAATATAGAGACCATAAAAGAAATTAACTGTTTACAAAGCTTATTCTTTAATTCAGTGTCCTTGAAATAAATTTTCTTTTTTTTTAAGATGCTGCTAGAAAGATGGTGATTCTTCTCAATTTACCCAGAGTTATGACTATAATCATGTCAATTCTTAGAGCCAGGATGCTCCGGGTCATAGCTTCACATGATTTTGCTCAGGCTAAGATGAGTTCTACTGCCTTGGGATTTAGGCTCCTTAAGGTTCATCACACTCTCACTGCTGAGCCTGTGGAAGGCTTAAAAATGGAAACTTTTCTCTCTTCACTTCCATCTTTTCAGGTTACCATCAACAAGAGGTAGAAAAGTCAAAAGTAATATTTGTGCTAAAGATGTATTTGTGAAAGTCATATGCAATTAGAATCGTGAGATAAAAATGTACATATATGTATCTATATATACATAGATGCACACACATACTCCAAATCCCAGAAGATTTCAGGTGCTTTTAGAAGTCCATTTCAGAATCAGGTAAGCTATTTCAGAATAGTAAGTTATTGTCTAAAAGTCACTGCATGCCTTTTGAATTTAACAGCACATAAATGTTTTAGGACATATTTTAATCCCTGCTGGAAGCAAAGTATGTGTAAAAGGTTTGGGGTTTTTGTTTTCCTGCTAAAACGAGTCAGGCACTTGGTTAGAGCTTGTCAAAAGCTTATCTGAACTTGCAAATCCTTTGAGATTTCCCTTTCACCATAGGGTTTAACTCTGTCTCAGCCAGTACAAGTTTTTAGTGCCAGTAAAATATAAAGGATTTGAACTTTACAGGCCAGTATCTAATCAATAACTTTTTATATAAGATTCTTCCATTCCTCTTCATCGCTGTATTTTTTGTGTGCACACTGTGCACCAATGGCTCAGTGTGACAACCAGTGAAGGCACCAGGTCTGAGGGATCCATTACTAGAATTCCACGTCAGCAATACTAATAGGTGTATTATACTAGTAAGAGTTCTGTGAAGCTTCTAAAACAATCTAAGAGCAATAATTATGTATTTGCAATTAACTATAGGTATAACAGGAATATAGGAACTGTGTCAGGGGAGTGAGAGGGAGCATCTGACTTTGCCTGCTAAAATAAACAGGTGTGGGTGTTACCTTATTACTATCGTTTGGGTAGAATCTCCATTTCTTTATGTTGATGTAAAAAAGGACATTTTAGAGTGTTAAATCTAGAGTACTGGGGCAGCCAGTAAACTGGCTGGTAGGAAGCAGAGCTATTACTAAGTTGGTTTCAGGCAGGGTCACAAAGCATGTAAGCTGATCTCTCTCTCGCTGGTCTTGATCTTATTTATGAAAACTTTAAGTTTTAGCAACTGTCACAATTCATCAGAAGCTGTGTCAAACATTAATAAACTTTATTTTTCTCTAGTAGCTTTAATTTTTTTAATATCATTTAAGTAAAAGGGGTAGGATTAGAGAAGAGCAAAGCAGAACACTTAGATTACTTACCACATGAAGAATTTTATTTTCTGTTTCATACACTGTACAATCCTGTGGCAAAATAAACAAAAAGCAATAAGTACACGTTATTTTAAATGTCCTGTGAAGAAATGAAAGGCGTCTTTATGCTGATAGCTATCTCTTACAGACGTACGTGTAAAGACAAATGAGCTCTTGAGTTTGTCATGACCAAAAGGTTACTTTACAATCTCAGGCCACTTGACTTCTCTTGTGGCTAGTTAACCTCAGGGATCTATTCGTCCCTTGTCAGTCCTGACACTCGTGTTCAAAAGTAACAACAATATAAATGTAAGCAGGGGGGGGACAGAGTCATGATAGTGAGAAAAAAGTAACTGCGTATAATTAATGTGGCACGTCAGATTTTCAATGATGTGCAGAGCAAGGGCTACACTGCCTGGCCTTAAATCAGGCAGAATGTTTGCTACCTGTCGCACAAGCTGTGCGGGGCGCAGTCATGTCAGACCTATCACTAGGTAGATTGTGTTACTATAAAGCACGGGAAGGAAGAGTAAACAGACAATATTTGACAAGTACAATGCTAAAGATGCTAAACATCGCATGTACATTCTGTCAGTTTCTTCTGCTCCATCTTTTGCTCCAAGGCCTGACTGTCTACACTGTGCACAAGGGACAGAAAAGAGCAGTGGTCCCATCTGCTTGCAGAAGTCACATAACTGCTTGAGCTTTGAACTACGGAAGGCACAAGCCACACCAAAAAGGGATGAGAAAGGACACAGGGCTGCTCATGCTGATCACTGATCCAGGAATATCCAGGAGGTTTCACTGCCGTAAGACCTCCCAAAGAACAACTCCATCCCAGCTTTCCATTACACAATGTTGCTCTTAACCATTTAAAGTAGGGCTGAAAAACAATATTCCTGATAAACCTCTGAATTTGCTTGTAACTTCTAGAGCAGCCATTTTCCTATTTTAGTTATTTTTTAAAGTCTAATAAATCTTATAACTCCATAACTTAAGAGTTATTTCTCCCTTAATGTCTGTTTTGATCTAGTGATACTACAGTGACTAGAATAGCACTTTTCCTTTGTGGAACAAAGCATACAAATTCCTAAAAGGAGCCTCCACTGCTTTTGAATGTTTAGGGAATTTCCTCAGCACAGCCCTCTGTAAAGCAAGGCACAGCCATGGCACAAGTGCTTCACTCCTTGCTACAGGAGAGGCCCTGGGTGCACTGAGGCAGCTCCACCGCGGCCAGGGCTCCACAGCACCACCCGGCATCTCCCTGTGTTCAGGGAGACCCACACCAGACCCTGAGGGAGGTGGGAGCCCCAGAGCCCTATGAGCCCTCCACAACCAAGCTGTGGGCTCCTCACCTCACCAGTGCCCAGCTTCCTGTCTGTAATGCCATACGTGCATTGAGTAATTACATTTAAGCAAATGAATGATTAATAGAAAAGCTATGTTGGGAGATTGTTAAACACTTCTCCAAGTGATATGCCATGTTGGAAAAAGCTTTCTGCAAAGCAGGATGAGGATTTCAGAACATATTTATAAGGATGAGGATATGACAAGTAAAAAACAGTCTGCCTTGTTTAGGTGTCTTAGGTGTTTAGTTTCCAAGTAAAGTTTAACTTATTGATATACCTAAAAGACCCCCTCAAATAACTTAAGATTCCCTATAATTTCTCTTTCCTGGATCATAATACCTTTGCAATAACAGCTGATTATTTTAAACTTCCCATTAAATAATTCCAACATCCCCACTGTATTTACTCTAGAAGCAGATTAGCTCTGGCTGTGGTACTCTGTGAGAGAGATAGCAGCTGACTGGCAGATCTCTGCTCCGCTTGTCCAGGGGCTTAAAACCTCAGCTGTATCCCCCCCCACTGAGGATACAGTGCCCAGCCCCCAAACTATGTTCCTGGGGTGCTCTCCTGAGGACCTTGTCCTTCCGCCCATCCATGGCTGCTGCAGATCTGATTCAACCTGCCTGAGCCGCTCAGCTCCTGGTACAGGCAACTACCGCAGCCTCTGCCCCAAGGGTCATGTTTATTTTGGAACAGTAGCACTTTTATAGAGAAATTAATTTCTAAGTGAACACCGTTTAGAGAATATTGTGACAGAATAAGAAAGTTAAAATCAGAAGACTGAGAGTGCCAAGAAACACAGAGAAGAATTTATATTAGCATTTCATGGTCAAGTATTCCTTTGATGTTTCTCCTGTATTCACACTGTTATTTTCTAGAGCACAAAAAAAGAATTCAATTAGTCAGTTTGGATGGCAATGCCCAAGGCAGTTTTCCCTACAAGTTTTACACACTTAAAACAGCACATCCACCATCTCCTTTTAACCCTCTGAGTACCAAGAGAACAAAATAATCACAGCAGGGCATACCACTTGACTTCAGAGCTAATGCTCCTTTCTAAATTATTCCTTTAATTTCTGTGCTAGAAACGCAATATGAGCTTCATTCTGAACAAACTTAATTACTTCAGGTCAGAGAATAGAAGCATTTTGTATAGAAAAACTGAAATTTTAATGTTTTGTAGAGCAGAATTAATGTCAGCTATACTTATGTTGCACATTCAAGATTACATTAGCATTAAAAATGTTAATGGCTTTGGGATTCCTTCCAAAATAGATGTATATTGACTTTTTTGCTTAAATACATCAGACTAGTTTAACTGAGAGGTTAAAAGCACTTCCAATATTACACTGACATATTAAGATAACGTAGGTCACGATATTCTTCTGATTTATTTTTCTCTGATACACAGCTATGCACTAGGGACCTCATTAATAAAAAATCAAAACCTTCCAGGACTAACATGAATAGAATTTTGATCCATTTTTCTTAGGAAATAAACAATATAGTTATAGTAATGTTCTTCCTACATCCTCCTTAGGCAGGATGACATGTTTAAAAATGGTTTGAGCTAAAAAGCTCTTAACAAAGCACCTGCATTCTATTTCCCCTCTGTAAAATGGTAAAATACAGGAATTATGAAAACAATCACAGCAGCAGTGTTACATACAAGTCAGCTTCTGCACTCTGCAGAACGACCTACCTTTCAAAGGTACAGTACGCATTCATAACTCTGATAAAGCAAAACAGCATTATTTGAATATTCATGAAGAAAAAAGGTCAGTAGGACTTGTGCTCACCCACACTATGTTCATAATTCTAGTTTCTATTTCCAAAAGGGAAAAATGCAAGCACTACTGAAATTTGCAGACAGATACCATAAAGAACATTTTGTAAGAAATGTTGAGGACAGTTAACCAACACATAAAGGTAGTAACACAAGTAAAATATTTATTTAGTTCATTACCTTAGTACAATAAACCTGCATGAGTTAAGTCAACTACTGAAAAAAAAAAAGACCCTATAAAGGAGCAGCCTGGAAGAGAACTTCAAACTTTATGATGTTTGCCAGTTGAATGCCATTTCCCAATATAACACTGCAGTAAAGATCTACTGCAAGCTTCGTGCGGTGGATATGACAACACGATATTTAAAAACATATTGCTTGCATATATAAAATCAAACACTTCTGGAATTAAAAAGAATGAGATTGCTCTGAAATTAGGCAAATATGCAGTGGTAAATAGACTGAAGTAACTTATTTTACTCGGTTTAATTAAGGTAAAGACTTGATCATAATCTATATTTAGAAAACAGTGAACAGATGTTCAATAACAAAATGTTCTTTAGCAAACGCAAGCCAAATAAGATGGAGGGGCTGAAAGCTGAAGTCTGCAAAGTTCAAACTGAAAATAACACCCACGTTTTTACTGGCAGTTGCTGAATCACAGAATAGTTCAGTTGGAAGGGACCTCTGGAGGTTATCTAGTCCAACCACCTGCTCGGAGGAGCAAATAAAAGTTATACCAGGTACAGGAAACTGCTGTGAAACAATTTCTTTTCATGGCAGTACAAACTAGATAGCTTTAAAAAACAAAGCTTCATCCTGAACACAAAGTGTTTGGCTAAAAGTAGGGTAAAAGTCTGCGTTATGGTGTCTGAATTTATCTCAGTGAGGATAATTAAACATTAATGAAGGGGAGAACAAGCAAAAGTTCTTTTGGCATTTGTTGGAAAAAAATTAGCCTGAGTTGTGCTGACATTCTTTCACGAGGCACAGTCAAACTTTTTGTTTAGAGGACATTTGTTCGTGCACTATAATGGATGTACCAAAAGCATCTATCACAAGCTTAAACATCTCAGACAGAAACAGAAAAAAATCAGAAACCCATTTCTATTAGAACAAGTGAACTCTTTCTACTCAATGAAAAATTAACCAGCGTCTACATTTTATGAACAAAATTCCAAACCTGTTCCTCAACTGTTATTTCAGTTATCTTTCCTCCAGGGTAACCTTGGCACTCGAGCATGACCAAATCCAAATTCAGTTAAGTAACTCTGGTGGATTCATTTTCAGAGGAGAAAGGAGAGCTAGCCTACCTTGAAGCTAAAGTTGCACTTCAAAATGAAGTCAGCAGCTCAGACACTTCAATACTCTGTTCTAACATGCTTTTTTTTGCACATTGTCATCAGCACATTTTGATAGGACATCACACCTTAAAATCAGGATGTGCCTGCAGCTTTCTGCATAATGCTATTCTTTCATACTTTCCCTGCTTATTCTAGTGAAGGTGATATTGTGAGAGATAAGAAAACTGAGTAAAGTACAATCCCAAGCATAAATGGACAGGCGTAAAACTCCTCTAAAGCTAAAGATCAGCATTCTCATAACCAGTATGAAAAAATACTGTTTCCAAATAAACAAGTGAATGCTTACTCATCATAGCATTTATGTGGTGTGTAAATAATGATATCCAGCATTGCAGTTCATGTTTAGTTTAAATTTCGAATGAAGATGTCATCTTCACAGTCATACAGAGAAAAAACATGACATAAAAGCTAAAAACCTACTTCCTGATTAGAGCTAAGAGTATGTCACTCAGATACATACAGTACATCCCAGCAAGAAGCTTCACACGCAGTGTCTGTACTAAACTAAGGTTATGCACCAATGCCCCCTATTCAGAAGGAAGTTCACCCTGAGTGGCAGCTATAAGTTAACCACAAAAGTGTGTTGATTTTGCACAAAATAAATCATCAGGTTGAAGGCATTCCACAATGTGCCAAATGCATAGCCCTGTCTGCTACTTTCACACTGACTAAATTAGACACCTAAAGTATACATTGTTCATGAAACAAAGAGTACCTGAAAGGATCTGAAATCCAGGTTTCTATTAGTTCCACCTTTCAATTCATATTTTAGCCTATAGTTAAGACTGAAATTCTGGGTTAAGTGAAACATTTCTGCTTTCACACATTAAGATCAATTTTCCTCAGATTTAGTAACATCAGAACATTCTCCCTAGCAATGATTTTGGTTTTTATTACTCTTTCTGGTTGCTAAATTTAGTCTACTGTAAAAAGGACTCAATAGATGACTATCAAACAACCCAGACCTGACAATAAGGAAAAGACAAAACTTGATTTTTAACAGACCTGAAGAACTAACTAAACATTTCTCATCTCGGAATGTCTTGGAGTTCATGCTAAAAGATAGATTGTTTTTATGCTGTCAAAAGGAGGACAGCTTTGGGAGTGGTGCTGAAGACTCGGAATTAAAAAAAGAACCAAACTACGAAACTATTGCTGGCAAAGCAGAACTGAATTTCATCCGCCAAAACCAGTGAAATGAATGACAGAAAGGGAGACAGCAATTCAAAAGTATACTGTTCTCACCTAGACCACAGGGAAAAATCAAACACACAAAGTGCAATATCAGCTGAAGGGCAGAATCAGAATCCAAACTTTTTATACTGTAGAGAAGTTCATTTTGCTTAGTCTGTAAATCAAAAATAGCCTAGTGCTATAAACACCTTGTAAGAGAAAGCTTAATAAAGATACATCAATAATTAAATGCCTACATAGGAACTTTTAAACCAAGAAAACAGAAAAAGGATCTTTGTTTTGCACTGTAAAAACGCATAAAGGGCAAAATTTCTAACAGGAATAAAGCTGAATATTATAAATTAATATAAAGGGGGAGTGTCACGAGGATGGAGCCAGGCTCTACTCAGTGGCAAACAATGATAGGACAAGGGGTAATGGGTGCAAACTGGAACACAAGAGGTTCCACTTAAACTTGAGAAGGAACTTCTTCTCAGTGAGGGTGACGGAACACTGGAACAGGCTGCCCAGGGAGGTTGTGGAGTCTCCTTCCCTGGAGACATTCAAAGCCCGCCTGGACACATTCCTGTGTAACGTTATCTAGGTGTTCCTGCTCTGGCAGGGGGATTGGACTAGATGATCTTTTGAGGTCCCTTCCAATCTCCAGCATACTGTGATACTGTGATACTGTAATAGTGTAAAATACAAAGACTGATACTTATCAACCTTAATTCTTTTTTCCAAGAATTAAAATGAAATTGAAGAGGAGGAAAAGAAAGAAGAGTTTGCAGAAAGCAGCTACTCTGTACTTAATTGTTGTGTTGGAGGCAGGGCCATTTAACTGGCCAGTCGTTTAGACAGTACTTATGAAACTACAGCTTTAAGCTTTTTTCTTGTTTTCCTTCCTACAACACTTTCATCTTTCTCTTTTGCTTCATTCCAAGACAGCCCTGCCTGTTCTTTAACCTCTCCACATCTTGCAGTAACGCTGCTTTTTCTCATCAGTGCTTTCATCTACTCACAAGAGGAGAAGCTCACTGTAAATATTTGTAAAACCAGCTTCCACTTAGTGTTTCTGTACCTGTGTGTCACCTCTTATCTTACTTCAGGGGCAGGCACTGTTAGAGGCTATTATTATTTGTATATTGCGTAGTACCATAGACCAGATAAATTTATTTTGTGTACCTGTGGACAGTACTATATTACAATTAATTAATGAACATTAGTGATGATAACACTACTACCATTATCTGTTCCATATTTGGTTTGCTCAGTGCTATGAATATTTCATGTTAATCACTAAACAACTTTCAGGTAACTGGGTCTCCTTTAATTGAGCAAGCCACAGTACAAACACATTTATTTGTATGTATTCTAAGAACTTGTCCCTGAAAGAATTTTGATCATTCATATTTTAACCTGTAATAAACTGTTAGCAGTAGTTATGCTGTTTCCCACTGTAGCTTTGTTTTTTTTTTTAACACTTGCATGGTGGCAGATAACCTGACATGAAACCTTTCCAGCACTCCCAGAGAAAGAGAATATGTTAAGAACAGAGAGGTAAAGCTAAAACAATTTTTCTGATGAAGTGAAAGCTTAGCAATGTTTTTACTACTGCAATTTTTAAGCATCAGAATGAGGAGGACTCAGATAGGAAGATAATCACTCCTACCTGTTGCACAATGGTTGTAAGTTCCAGGCACAGTTGAACAATGTTGTTTTTCAGCAGTGAGTATTCTGTCACACTGACAAATGGAGACCTGTCAGAAAGGAAGGGTAGGTTAGTACAGACTTCACAATGACGCCTCCTGTTCACCGAATAAGCAGAAACACGTAATATAGAGATCAATTCTACATCACAGAAATATGAAATACCTAATCATAACAATTTCCAGTAGCAAGTTACACAATTTTTCTAAAATATATCTTTGAAACAAGAAACAAGGTAGGCAGGAAGGCTGTAAACTGGATTCTGGCCAGAATATCGGAAGTTATAGTTCTTGTGGCAAGTGGAAATAGGAGCGTCCTAAAAATTGTCAATAGTCCAGATTTCCTTTGTGCAGCTTATTACAAAGACAGCTTTTCCAATATGACACCACTCTTCAGCAGCAGTTAGCACCTTAATTAAGACACCAAAGCAATGCTTACTTAGTCACTAACAGCTTCCTGCACACTCGGATTTTCTTCAGGCTTTGCAGATTCTAGCTGAATCTGGCCCCATTTGAATTCATAAGAACTGACAAGGTGATAGCCCAAGAGAATATGACTGCTGGCATTAGGTTAGAAAAATGTCACCAGGATTATACAAATCCTGGAAAGGAAGGTGATTCACTCTCACTGTGATTTCTAAGGTTCCATTTATACACCTGAAAGCATTCAGATTCAAGATAAAACTATTTGTTGATACAACTCTAAAGAAAGAGAAACAAAACATAAGTGCTCTGATGCTAGTTTGTGCTTTGGTTTCCATCTTTCCACCATCAAAATTTTAACTGCATTTATTCAGAGAGATACGTACACCAAATTCTGAACTTGGAAATGACTGATTGTTGAGAACTAGCACCACAACTGTATCTAACACATCAATCCTGCTCTTGATAAGAACTCTAATAAGTAAAGCTAAATTTCAGGCAAAGCATGTACTATAATTTATTTTGAATATTCTTAATTGATTTGCTCAACTCCAGCTTTTTTGTGTCTCCTTTGATGGCTGAAGGACAGCTCAAACTCTACAATCTTTTCTTCCTTGCCCTTCTTTCTGAAATTACCTGTGACATTGCCTCTTCTGGCAGTGAAATGTCAACTTGGAATAGGACAAAACAGTTCATTTCACATAAAATACTGTCAGACTGAAAGTAACTAGAGAAAACTTTAACACCCTCCTGACAGAAAAGGGTACTAGACTTTTCCCTCCTATTTTAGAGAAATTTGCCAAAAAAAATTCAGAACTAGAATTCCAGAACTGGCATTTTAATATTAGAATGTAAGAGTACAAGAGAAAAAGAACAAACACAAAACAACCCAAATAATTATTCTTATGCATAAAGGATCAAGGAATAGTAAATTACCTGTCCAGCCAGGCTAGTAAGTTCTTGGCAGCACCAATCAGGTCAACTACAGAGGTAAGAAAATCATTTGGCAGTCGTCTGGAGGCCCTGCCATCATAGTGGCCACTCCTCCTTCTACCCGTTATAAAGTTCTGAAGGTTTTTGGCTGAGGCATTCAGCTTGTGAGACAGAGTTCTCAGGTTTTCAGTCTCCAAACCATAATTCTGAGGGGAAAGAAGAAGATACATAATGAAGTGAAATAGTGCATTGTCAGCTACATAAACCAAGAAGTTAAACATTCTGAATGGTACTGGCTGAAAAGCTGGGGGACTTATGGATGCCTGGTTTCTGCAAACCCATTGGTCCAGCTATGTCACCAAGGGGAAGGCAAAAAGAATCCTTATATGCTGAGTCTGAAGGTCTTTCCCATTTTCAAAAAGTGGGGATGAGTCAGAACATCATCCCTACCTGCTATGCTTCAGTGTTAGCCAACTATGTGGTGTACAGCAAGTTTAGCAAGTGTTTAGCAGCCCCACTGCACTGGATCTTGCTCACACAGATTGTGTCAGTGTCTCCACTAAGTCAGAATGACTTAGCCTTGGCAGAACTTCCTTTTCACTTATGCTTTTACAGGAAAATTCCTGAATCCTGCTATTGGTGGTGAGCAGCTGTCCCATAGGTAATGTAAGATGGGAACAGTCAAATCAGGTCAGAACAAAGATATGGTACTCCTGTGTCCAGTAACTGCACAGGGAAGAATCTGAGAAAAGATCAAGCATGTTGTAACAGCTGTTAGTGTTCAGAGACTTCAGCCACTGACAGGGTCTTCATATTTAATACGTCTTAATGGATCTTCTTCCACCGTTCCAGTGCTGATGGGAACTGGGGGAGGGTTGGGGTGTTTTATCTAAGTAAAGTTTCCCACACACAAGTCCATTTTCCCTTTGTCCAACATTGCTTCATCTATGTCTCTGTCCTTTTATCACCAAGCCAATTCCCCACTTAGACCCAGGTAACAAGCACAAAGATATCTCAGCTCAAATACATTAAATAATTCAGTCAGGTTCACATAGAAAGTCTGAAACATACTGAATTGAACACAGATTTCCTGCTCCCACAACAGGATGTAGCATGTGAAAGAATTTAATGAGCATTTAAATAAAAATCAACTTTCAGAGTGTGATTTGATTGCCCACTATTAATTTCAACTCTGTTTATGTTACATCATGAATATCACATTTTTCTTGCCTGAACTTGTTCCTCAAAACAGAAAATTAAGAACTGCAAACAGCATAAAATCTGATGGATGCCAATATGGATATTTTTACTGGCAATCATAATTTCCAACACCAAAAAAGGAAAATGCATTGACCAATAACAAGCTTATGAAATGGAATTGGATGGAAGTCAAACAAAACACAAACAAACACTGGGTAAAGTTGTTTGGACCACTTACAGCTCATCCTGAGGACCATGCTTTCTCTGCCAGCCATTCTCCTGCTTAGAGCTCACACTGAAAAATAAATCAAGCCCCTGCCTCTAGCTTGGAGGGCAACCTACAAGGAATGGAGACACTTTGCTATCTGAGTCAGTTCTGCAAAGAATTCAGATTTTAAAATAGTTTTAAATAGTAGGGGCAGAATTAATTTATTTGTTATACACATATCATGCCTAAAGCATCACAGTCAATGAGGTTTGGAATTTGAGTTTAAGATTGAGCAGTGAAATAAACGGAAGTTGCAATGGTTTAGCTACAGATGAGAATAATGCTCTTCATCTTTTTTCCATAACAAATACTGTGCAGTTAGTCAGCATCACTAATGTAAGTCATTCTATTTTGCAAAAGTTTAATGTTAAAAAGCCAGCTGTATTTGATACTAATATGCCATCTGTTTTATATTTGTAGCAAATCTTTATTTTATTAAGGCACTGAAGGAATTCCTTCCCCTGCCCTATTTTTCTCTCAGCTTCTCCTTGTGCCAAGATGATGACTAAATGGACTTATCAGGATACCTTTACTGACTAGCAACCAACTAGACAGTGCTTGGTTTCCCCTCAGAAAGAGTTTGAATTTGCACACTCAACAAGATGTTACAAAGATGCTAAACCAGATCCTCCTGGTTTTATTTCCACGTCCAGCTTTGCTTATCCCTGTGGAAGCAAGCAGAAAATATTTCCCCAGTAATTCACTATTGCACAAAAGCTCTGGAAACCTCTCAGTTTACTGCCAAGAAAAGCTAAGCAGAAAGGGAAACAGATTGGCCAGTGAAGCTATAAAAGCCAGAAAGTATGCTAGATGCTACCAAGTAGTAAGCAACTGGAGCGATCTTCTCAAGTCATTAGTAAATATGCAGAATTGAACAGAAAAAGCATTTGAGGAAATCCACCTAGTGAAAGAGTAAGTTTGTTGTTTTATCTTTATTAATTACATGCCAATGGCAACCTCAATTACTGTGAGCATCAAATTCAAAATATAGCAGAGCGCAGACAAAGTATGTTCATAAAGATAATCAGAAGATGAAAGGAAATTGTTCCTCACAGTAGAAGTGCTGATGCAAGTGAGTGGTTTAGCTGAGACTTCACAAGCCACAGTAAAGGGGAAAAGATAAAAATATTACAAAAAATTACAGTGAATCAGTATCTCTGTAGAAGACAAGAATTATATTGCTCTACATTTAAGCTTGCCTTAAATCCAAGATCATTTTAAAATGAAACTACCGTAATTAATTATAAAATGGGAAAAAGTCAGAAATAATCCTCAAAAGTAGCACCTCTGAGCACCTCATCCTGACTCTCAGCACCCAGCCAACCTCGTGTCAGCTGCATGTTTCTCTCTCCATATGCACCTTCCCTCATCAGCAACCAGGATGCCTTGATATAAAAGAGATTGTTCTGGAGCAGAAAAGAGCAGGCAAGCGGGTGCACACACAGATGTGAACTGCAATGATTCAGATTCTGGGAATGCACCTGAAAACACAGTTGGAAGAGATGCAGTTTATGATAACAAGTAAGTAGATGGGTAGCCTTGCTCTGTAGACGTGACCCTGCAAGTATCACTTCCAGTTCCTGTAGGCATCTCATCTGCATGGTGATGACTGAGATAGTCTCAAACCTGCTAGACTAACTCATTATCCCAGCTACTGTACCAGCCTTCAGTTTCACAGCCATATATTCTGCTCTTGTTGCGCTAAACATGTGCTATTATTGTGAGATGCACCACAGAAATGATGCTCCTGAGCCGGTAAAATTCTTCCTCCTGGCAGGTGATTTCTTTCTTCCACAGTAAATCCTAGATATAATTTCTGGTTTTAAAAGAAAGAAAAAGAAAAAAAAAAAAAAGGGGAAAAGCCTATAAAAGGGACAAGGGGGTGCCATTAGCATAGACAGGATAATTTTTCATACCAAGAGCAGGGAAAAAAAGAGCCAAGCAAGGTTTAATCCATTCCCTGTTGCACAGTCATTTTTACCAATTTTTCTTTACTTGATCTGTGGAAATGGACATACAGGTTTAGAGAATTAATACAGACTATTAAAAGTGACCCCAAACACTGCCTGTCCAGAACTACACAGTCATACAAATTGTCAAATTATTACTAAATCTGAATTATAAACTGTTTAGTGAGAACAGAAAGTGGACTGAAGTCAACCACACTCCATTTCAGTCAAGCAGGCCTGACAGGCGCACTGCAGAAAGGGTAACTGGGAGGCCAGGGCCAAAGTAATGACATCTTGAGCACAGGAAGACATGACTGTAAATTGGTAAATCTATTAAATGTTTACTCAAGCTTCTTCACATAAAAGCACTGTTCAAACAGTGAGAGATTCTGTATATTCACTGAGTGTAATATACTATAGCATTATTACCTTCACATTAAATAGAGGAAGTTACCTAGAGGTTATCTGATTTGTTCAGACTGATGCAGTAGTGTATTTTAGGTTAGAGCTCAGGAATACCTAATGCCTTGTACAACAACAGAAGTTGAAAAGAAGGATTTCAAGAGGTAGAAATGAAATGCAAATGAGATGAAAGCCAGACAAGTTTATTATGGAAGAATATCATTAGTGATAATGGCAAGATGAAGCTGTGCTGAAAATGACACTTGCTAATGAGATGTACAATTGATTTGTGTTTAAGGGTAAGTCTGCTTGCTGTCTGGAAAACACAGTTTTCAGTGTTAGCAATCTCATTCTCTAATGACTGTCAGTGAGGATTCCTGCCATCTCCCCAGCTCCCTTCTCCAGTTTGGTTGGAGATGCCTGTTCCAGTGTTTCTAGTGACTCAGGTTATTGTAGGGTGGAAAGAGGGACGAGACAAGGCAGGTTGCTCCAGGGCTTATTCAGCTGGTCAAAGTGCTGATGGAGTGTAAGGGATGATGTAAAAAATAAGTTATTGAATATTCCATATAGTTAAAAATGCATACTGGAAATTGAAAACCAGGGAATCTGTCTCCAAACGCATATTTCTTCCTTTTTGCATAAATCCAAACTGCAGAAATAAATAGCTAAATGCAGTGTGACATGAACCCTGCTGCTCTGTGTCTATATTGCAAGTCCTGCTTTGTACATACATTCTGGTTTGAAGTTCCGTTTTTAGGAGACACTGGGAAAACTGGGAAAACCTTTTATCCATCTGACCATACAATACCTGTGGTTTGTACATACTCAAAGAGGTGGAATGAGGAAAAGTCTTCAGCTATAGCATAGGGTGTTCTCATATCTTACAGCAGGTGTGTAATAACATCACAAATGAGTAGTTTATGTGAATAAAATTTTAGCCACTAAGATAAAATAGTCCAAATTATTGTAGCAAACACTGAAATAAAAAATAACAAGTACAATGGGGGAAAAAAAGGGCAAGTACTAATCAAATTTTTTGTAAACACCTGAATAGCAGAGCAGGAAATACCTTCAATATAAGAGGAGTTTATTTCTTCTGTGGACACCCCACCGCAGCATGATATACTTTAAAGTACTAATATAATGAAATTGCTTTGCTGTAATGTGTCACAGAGAGGTAAGAAACGTGTGCACATCAAAATTTACCTGACAGAGGATATAATTTTAGCTAGATAATTTATATTGCATAAGTGATGACTTTAACCTACCTCAAAACCAGAGTTATTTTTAATTATAGTAATTTTTCTTGATGTTGCCATTCATGTAAGTAGTCAATGTAATTTCTGAATAAATACATATAAACACATGGATGTATACACTGCTTTTT